CTTTCCAATTTACAGTTATTTCACATACCAGTAGGTACTTTCTTCTTCTTGCGTTTCCTTTGAGGAGGGACATCATGAGGTTCAGGAGTTAGGGGCTCACTGCTTTCAGACTGCCGTCGAACTGCTGCTTGCACAATACCATCTGAAAACCAGATGAAAAGATCCAGCAACCTTAATTCAGAGCTGCTGAGAAACAGGCAAGAAAAAACTGCCTTTTGCGACATCGTGCAAAATGTCTGTATTTGCCCAGCTTGCAGCTGAGATGAAAATGTATTGGCTAGGAAGTATGAGAGTTAGGAAACAAATGTGGTAAGTAAAAATATACAAAGGTGATAGCTGACAATCCTCCTTTCACCCTGACAGTTTCATGCCCAGGACGAAATTTAAGTATCCAAGAAATAGCACAGTTCCCATTTGGGCATACAGCAGAGCACTGATTGAAAGAAATCTACCACAGGACAGAAGTATACCTCTCTATTTTTCCTTTTTACGTGCAAAGATTATAACGTGAGGGACAAGAAACAGTTTGTTACAAGCTGATTCATACAGATATGTGTTAAGGCAAAATAGTGTCATATCAAAGGGAAATTTAAATACTAAACAATCATCATAAGAATACAGAAGGACTAGAAAAATCTAACACAGAAGTATGTTTACTCCAGTCTTAAAGATGAATTACTATGCTTTGGAGGAATTACATTTCCATGGGAGGTTAACAGGAATTCATCAAATATTCTAGCAGCAGTAGCATCAATTTGCATGATCAGAAGTAGAAAGACAAAGTTACTTCTCCATTTTACATCACATCTGCCTTTTTTGTAGCTCTTTCAAGTACTGCAGTTTTTATGATAACAACTGAATCTATCTTTGTTTTCACTTCAAGCACAGGTTTTCCCACCTTTTATAAAGCTTTGCTGTGCTAAAATGCAAAATTAACCAGCAAAGTAATGGCCAAAGCCAAGGCATACTTTACACCATCGTTCAGCTCACTAAAAACAACAGTAAACAAAACTTGATCCTTGGGAAACCCTGCTAGCAACAGCTCTACTTGTTGCATTTAAAGGTCTTTCAGTAGGCCTCAACTGTACAATCTTTCAAGCAAATAAAGGAGGTTTATTCATCAAACCATCATATGGACCCAAGTTTACAGAAGTCCACTAGATTCTAACACCACATTCCGCTTTATCAAAATAGATCAGACTTGTAATCTTGCTTAAAACAATATGTTTGTTCTACAGATCCACTTCTTGTAAACATACAAAGCCCTGGTGCTAGTCATCTTTTAGGCTCTTAGCTCTTCAGTGATAATGGAATGATTAACTCGTGACTTTATTTGGCCAAGCACTGAAATTGAGCCATTTTGTTAAATGAGTTTTATCTTAGTTCATTCAAAAATTCAAGTTCTTAACACATTCAACATAACGAGCAGCTTACAACTGGAAATAACTATTTAATGAAGTACCCAAAAATTTCAGAACAGAAACAATAGTAGGAATAAAGGAACTTTTTCAGTTCAGTATCAAGACATGCTGTATTAGCAGTACCGGGAATCATCTAGGGAGAAGGAACAGAGGATAGAACACGTTACTTCAGTTAGCATTACAGATTTGTTCTACAATGACACCACTTTGGGGAAAAAGATTGCAGTTGTTCACTATAAAATAAATTGCAATAAATTAGCTGAGAACACTATTCAAAAATAGAGTACAAGACTAAAAAACGTGTATCTGTCAGGAGCTTGGCTACAGTACAGGTCTCACTCAGGATTACAAACACAGTTTTCAGTCTCGGCAGGACCTTACCTAATGGAGTCTTTCCTTTGGGTTTCCTTTTTTTGGGACGACTGAGTGGAATTTCATCTGCAGGACAGAAACCAGAAGTTTAGGTGCACAGCATGGAGAAACTCCATTTCCTTTTATTATAACAGCCATTCTATTGCTAGTTAAGAAAGGGATTCCTTTTTACAAGTGAAGACATCCTTCACCTTTTTCAGGTAAGATGACAATTCACCAGGAGCAGGAGGAATACAGAAGATGGCAGGAAAACAGGATAAGAAATCTGTCTTAAGTGCAACAGAGGCTAAATATGCATATGCATGTGTGTTAAGTGAAAAACTGTAATACTGTGCAGAATAAACTTCTTGTTTAGAGCACAGTGACAACACTTAATTTACCTTGTTTCAGTGCAGAAATAGCAAACGGTAAAGAGAGCAAAGCAAAACAACAGACAGTTCTAGCAATGGCAGCTCAGGTATCCATGCAGTTTAAATAATCAGCCTGCATTTAGGAAACATGTAAGGCTCTGTCGTTGAAGAGAGTACAAAGTGATGCCAAAAGGAACTACCAATGGTTATAATTCTCTTTAATGCCAGAATAACTCACCTTGGTTTCCACTTCACATTTAAGGAGAAAAGGTGTTGAAGGGCAGCGTAAAAGGAACAAAGATGAGAAGAAAGTTAATTTTGAATCAATTACAATTCACGACAATGAAATTCACACTGCTGCTTTTGTGATTCATTTCCTTATTCCCACTCCTAGTTCTCTTTATGAGCAGTTGTATACAGCAGGGTTAAGGGTACAAAGCAATCATCAAGACTCAACGCTTTGTTCATGACTATGCACAGTTTCTTGATTGGCTAGCTGTGGATCAGATTAAAAGCTTTAATCACCTGGCTAATTAAAACTTGTCTTATTCCCAGATACGTAACAAACCAACAAAAGTTATGAAACATTTGAGCATATGTTATTAAAAAGACACTATCTTTATATATCATCAATCTTGAACATCACATTTGCTTTTAGGTACTTTGAAGGAATTCTGAAATATCATATCATAAAAACTGTAACTGCCTTTCCTTCCACACTGAAAAAAAAAGCCCAATTTTTCCTCTATACTACGTTGAACTAGTAGACACCTACACCCCTATTCAAGAATATCTAGTCTACTTAAAGAAATTCCTGTTCTGAAGGATTTGTGATTCAAATAAACCAAAGATCATAAAATAAAGAAGGAAGGAAGAAGAGATTGAAAAGAAGCACGTCAATAAAACTAAAATAGACATTAATAAAACTAAAGTAGCTATTTGTCTGAAATTTTTTAAAGGGTTAATCTCTCAGGGTGTTAAAACTGAGATAATATAGTAAAATATACTGGCCTCTATAAAACTTTAAAATGCTTTGTATTCCTTGTAAGGGGTTCTGGGACAACAAATTAGCAAGAAAAACAATTATTTTTAAAGTCATTATGACTACACATATGTTTATTAAACTTAATTCTCTTAATTTCATTACTTTTAAAAACATTGCAGTACAGAACCATGATTGATTCCACAGAATGAGCTGATTTTACCTTGGCACTGGAGGGAGGGCACGAGGTGGGCACTGAAATACAAGAGAGACAAAAGTCAACTTCTGTCAGTGTGAAACATAAAACAGCTATTTCCTGATATGGTCAGAACACACTATGCTTTGCTTCATATGCCTCTGAAATAGCTAGAGACTCCTGATAGAGATATTACATAAAAGTAATACGTAATATGTAAAAGATGCAGGAATAATATGCTTTTACCAGAGTTCTGATGGGCATTACATTAGGGACATGTACCTAATAGCTGTATGCAAGGCCCAGTTTGCATTTCAACTTTACTTGAATACTTTTGACTTTTCCTATAAGGTACTGCTTTCATTGGAAAGCTTATCATTCATTCTATTTAAATATCAAAATATCAAAATACTGCAATACTTTATGCATTCAATATACTTGCACAGTATACAGCATGAGCTGAGTATTTTCTATTAATGAAGTTGTAAATTCAGAACAACAGTAAAAGCAATAAAAGAAAATAAGCTTCTTTATGAAAAAGACTTTTAAATATGATAAAACACTAATTTTCATATAATTTTGAAAATATTTACCAGCAGGTCAAACACAACTGAAATCTGAAAATAAGTATCTCCTGTTAACAATATGAAACAGAGCTCTTGCATGTTCTCTCATCTGGAAAAAGGAAGGCAGTTTACTTTCAGGTTTTGTATTATACAATGATATTGAAAGAATATACATGACTAAGTATTTCCCATGCTCCAAAAATTCAGCTGATATCAGAAATAAAAAAAGGCTGTGAGCCTGGTAAGAGTCAAGGATCCACAAACTTACCACTTGTTTCTTTCCCATATCATTTGAAGCTGTTCCCTGAAAGAGGCATTGTGAACTGGTCTGTAGTCCCTCACGCTGAACCTCAGCTAATTCTGAACTAAAAATAAGCTTCTAGCAGCCAGGATTAGCTGGACATGAACCTTCCTGCCCGTGGGTTAGGGGCCAGTACTACTCCCATTTAAAACAACAGCAGTATGTTCCATGGCAGCAAACATTACTTATACTTGAAAAACCCTTAACTCCATATGCTGGTACAAAAGTTCCAGTGAGCAAGTTTTACTTAGGTTCGTTTACCCAAAACAAATGAGACACCTCGTGCAAGGAAGGGTTTTTGCAGGATTAGGCCTCAAATCTCTCCCTTGGATTTTGGCCATGTTGAAGACTGACAGCAAGTGCTGTTTACACAGGTAGAGAACAGCACATCCTGCAAACTGGTCAGGATTGGTCACACCATACAGGTGCACCATAAGGGACAAAAAGAATTGAAAAGGGTCGGAGCTTGTTACTTTTATTGTTTCCTACATTCTTGTGGCAGTGATTATTAAATGTTTAGAATAGTTGATATTTAAAAAAAAACTAAAAAAGCCTAAAAACTAAGAAAACCCACAACTTTTACTCAGCATTCACTGCCTGCACAGTACATCTATCCTGTAGTACCTATTTTGTTACCTTCTATGAAACAACTGAAAAGTGAATTAATTTCTGTATCATTTATTCCTTGCAACAAAGGAAATCAAATGCAAGCAGGCAGTAGTGAATGCTCATCTGTCCCATCTGTATGAAAGTCCCCAACTCTGCCATATAAATACCAGCTTTATTCTATTAGTTTCCAGTTTGTCAGTCTGAAGGAACTCACTCCGCGCTCCATAGAAAGGGTGAGTTTGGGCACAGGTTTCCAGAGAAATTTCGTTACTGACAGGAGAGCTGCTGAGTACTACGGTAGCCGTAGTGCCCCTGAAGCCCAGAAACTCCCACAAGCAGCCCCTGCCTAAGCAAAAACGTGTGCTTGTGCACATGAGCCAGGCCACAGGACAGTGGGACACACCTGGGAATTCTCACTCGGAGGGAAAAGAAATAACGAACTACACAACTCCCTGAGTGTCCGTTCAGGGATGCAGAGCAGAAAATGCCTTCACCCCTAAGCACGACTTGCGTGAAACAGCAGCACGCCCAGTACTTACTCCCCAAGTGCAGTGACCTAAGCTGCCACCACCAGACTTCAGAGGTGGTATCAAGGGGACAGTTATGCACGAACTCGGAAGGTTTAAAAACACCTAGCCAGTCTTTACAGATTTAAAGATTTGCACGTTTGGTGGTTTGGGTTTTGGTTTGGGGTTTTTTTGGAGATACGTATATGGATGGAAATATGAAAACAATGATAAAATGCTTGCGCCCTCAGCAAAGGAACGTGCGACCCTGCGGCCAGCTACATCCCACCTCCC